GTGTGTGTGTGTGTGTGTGTGTGTGTGTGTGTGTGTGTGTGTGTGTGTGTGTGTGTGTGTGTGTGTGTGTGTGTGTGTGTGTGTGTGTGTGTGTGTGGTCTTAGAGGTGGTGTTGGTGTATTTTTGGGGTGAAGAGGTAAAATAAACCAAACAAAGCATGCTTTCTGTCTGTTTACGGGGAAGAAGTCAGAGCTGTACATTGTATCAGTTATGCAACAATCAAACTTTTATTTCTTCATCAAACCTCTAAGAGATTTTTTTTTTACATTTATGTTGTATAAGTGAGGAACTAACTCATGAGCAGGTCACGTAAACACATGATAAATGTTTGCTCTCCTGTACAGATGTTGTCCTAACTGATGTACATCTATGGCTCTGGGTACACAGTGTTCCTGCATGCTCTGTCATGCTCGAAGTACTAAACCCTCTACAGTTATTTGTGCTGGGATGTTGTGGATTGCACACATTAAACCTGAAAAAGATACCTTCATGATTCGATTTTAAACTGTTATTTTTCTTCACCAGGCACCGTTTTCTGTTGCTTACAAAGACAAAAAAGCATATAATTCCACAATTTAACAAAAGCCTGTGAAGAAAAATAGGAGATTAAATTAGAAAAATCTGGTATTTCTAAAGATATCTTTCCTAGAAAGACGGTGTACCTTTCTCTCATAATTCTGGACTGACTATTTATGATGTGACCTCGAGTCCTGCTACTCATATAATGATGGCTGGTTAATGGTTTCCCTTGAGCTTCTGTAGATCAGAAGTCATTCCCTTACTGCTGTTTTAATGGGATTTTCCTCTTTACTGTCAGATGAAACACAAATATTTAATACTAATGTCATTTTTCCTTTTGTGTTTTTTTCCCTTTATTGAAAGCCTTCCTCTTGATAATGATCTTTGAAATTACAAAAAATGAAGAGTTTCATACGATAGAAATATATTTGAGAACAGAACTTACATTATTCATCTGACAGCTCATCTATGGCACAGCGGTTGATAACAGGTTTTTACTTTGCTACTTGTAGGCCATAGGCCCTTTCCCCTGGGATGTATTAGATGTTATTTCCCCTTCGCTCCTTTAGCTGAGCCTGTTACATGCTGCCATTTACAAACAAGCCTTCCCCCCCCCCGTCCCCCCCCCCCCTC